TTACTATTATTTATCTTATTATTTATATATATTATTTTATATCTTATAAGAAAATCACCATTGGCACAACTGGTCCTGAGCTCATATATTTGACTAAACCTGGGAAGAATGGTCTTGATGCCAGATCCGCATAATGTTTTTTCAAGAGATCTTCAGAAGGCTGTAACACAAAGATATGAGGTTTATTTTGTATTGCTGCAATCTGAACAGATGCAATAATTGAAGTGAAACAAACATATATTTGTTTCACTTCAATGTATTATATTGTGTGTACTAGTTCAGAAAGTGCAGTAATAAAAAACAGACCTATGGTGTACAAATTAGAGAAGACATAAATATCTTTTAATCAAGGATATTCAATCTACTTTAAAAATATTTAAAAACTATATTTCCTATAAAAAATTCATATTTACATTTTTTTATCATGTTATTTATTATGCTTACAAGCATATGATGTACAATAAATTCTCAGCCTTAAAATATTTTTGACATCATTATTGCATTCTTTCAATCAGTTACATCCTTCATTGATGATCATAGTTGTAACTTAAAAAAATTAAAATCATAAAACTTAAAAAATTAAATTAAAAATTAAAACAGAAAATTTGATTTCAGAAAATCTGTTTTCAAAATAGAATTGAATGATTTATTTCACCTTAATTTCCATTAACATTTAATTTTTTTTATATATTTTATTATTTGTATTTTTTATTTTTTATACTTACAATAACATAAAATACATATTTTTACATCGATTTTTTATAAACATATTTGAAATCATTCTGCTCTTGACCTTGAAGGTCACTACACTTATTGATTAGAATTGCTACACATATCGATATTCTACATTAGTATTAAATGTTTTCATTAAAGACCATTTTTGCTTGTAATAATTTCATTATATATATCCATAAATTTAATATAATATTTGAATACCAATCGCCATTCTAGTTATAAAGTACTTTGAATAACTGGTATACAATAGATTAATAGAATATTGAAATGAGAAATAAATAATTTTTATTCTAAATCCAATATAGATAGCTAATATTTTAAAAGTTCAATAAGTTTATCGAGATGTGCCAAATTGGAACATTCGCGCGAGTTCTAGAAATTGTGAATTCTCGAATTATGTGAAGTTAGGACAAGCATAATGAAATTATACCAACACTTGAATGAAATACCATCACTTACCCATAACATCTTCATAGCCACTAATTTGAAACCCTTCTGCTCAAATCGTTGAATAATCTTGCCGACAAGACCACGCTGCACACCGTCTGGTTTAACCATGATAAAAGTACGCTCCTTGTTTTCCGTCATAATTAATTTACAGATAACCAGCAGCAAAATCAAGACAGAACATAAGAACATGCGATACCAACGTGTCGCAAAGGCTCTTTTCCGGGTTCCGGTTCAATGTTAACGGAACAAGTGATGGCTATGGCCACGTATATACTAGGTAGACACAGTAGGCTCACTCTACATGTAGCACGATATGAACCAAATATCGATTTATCATCTCTAGCCTTGAAAAGTGGACGATGTACCCTGATGTACCCTAAGAAAAGTGAACGTTGCTATATAGTTTACAGTTACTTTGTCAGAGGGCAATAATGCGCGACAGCATTTTGCGGTTACAGATTTGGGCCAGATTTGTCCTCTTTCAGATTTCTCTCTGGTAGAAGCTATAACAGGAGCACATTGGAGCATGTTGGAGCAGGCGACGCGAACAAATTTTTTCCTGTATTCATTTATGCAGCGATTAATGCAGAAGTATTACTCTATCCTTGTTATTCACTGAGTATTAAACGAGAATTAAATGATACTCTCTACGCTAATGCTGCGTAAACGAATGCACCCTTCGGTTTAAACTTGGCCACTGACTAGATACTATTAAAGATCGTCAACCTGAGCAAATTTTCGATGCCCCAATAAAAAGGACCCCAAAAGTCCGCAGGTAATTGAAGAACATTGATATTATCGACAATTAATATAAATTTGCTATTATTAACATAAAGATTTGGCTAATACATTATTGAATTCATGATCTTTTATTTATTACATGCTCCAAATAAATAAATATACATACTTGTAAAGCTGTAACATCCTATATATTGCCGAAAAATTACAATTTTTTCTCTGCAGTTATCATCTCTGTTGATAATCAAACTTTGACTGAAATCACAATGTAAAAAAAATCGAGTAATTATTGAGTTCTAAATACATAAATATGTCTACTAAACTAATAAATCATAAAATTAGTGCACTATTAGTTATCAGTTTTCAACTCTTAGGCCGGTATTCCATAGTCAGATCTTATATTTAAGACCTTCTTAAATTCAACCTTGAAATATAATGAACCAATCAGAGGGCCGCATTAGCATCTTAAGACATCACTTAAGATAGTCTTGAAATAAGAACCGATTCACTTCAATATTCACATGGATGCAAAGATCTCGTAAGGATGTCGGTCTTTAATACTATCTCGTCGATGATATGAGCTATGGTACTTCCATGGTAGGATCCTGGATTAGATGGGTAACCGTGAATTCTTATATTTTTGTTAAACTTTTGACAAAAAAGTTCATCCTGCTTTGGTAGATAGCGCTACATGTAGTGGCTCAGCATTACAAGACGACAATTTGGCTCCTCTGGAAGGTAGTTTTTTCTGTTAGAAAAAATTCCATTTAGTTGGAGTTGGGTTCGATTGTTTCATCTTCATGGGAAAACATGTCAAATGATAATTTTATTAAAATTGGTAGTGAGAAAGCTCAACTGAAGAATTAATTACTGAATAGATTATCTAACAAAAAAGAAGTTAAAGAAAAATATTCCTGATCTTTGGTGTTTAAAATCTAGAAAATAATAATAAATTACTGTACAAATTATTCTACGCTGTATTTGCTTATTATATATTCTGCAATGTTGTTCGTTGCAATTAATTCTAAATTTAAAATATTTCAACATTCATTGTGATTTTAAATTACATTGAAAATATTTGTCTTATAAATTGCAATAAATATATAATATGATAGAAGATCCTACAAAATGTGAAGATACTGAATTTGGTAATGTGACTCCAGTGTGTTCTCAAGTGAATCAAATATATTTGGATACAAAATGTTTAATAGATAATAAAAATACACAAGTTCGTGTTGTTCGCGGTGCTAAAAAGTTCAAAATTGACAATGATGTTAACAACACTGAGAAAAAAGGTTTGTTTACAGATAATTGTTTAGAATAACTCTCACCCCCCCCCTCCCTTTCCATCCTCCTAAAATCTTAATAAAAAAATGTACTTATTTCATCAATGCGTATTCACTTAAAATGAAAGAATCTGACAAAAAAAATGCGACAGTCTTGTGAATCTATTAACATCTATTTATTCTACAATGTGCTCTTTGTTTCTTGTTTCTTGTTTTTTACCTTTTTTCTCCTTTGTACCGTTTTATCGACAATTGTATTTCTTGTTTCTTTCAAAGTTGGTTAACTTTTATTTTAGGCGAAAACAAAAACAAAAACCGGATAAGAAACAAAAAGACAAGATGTTAAAAAATAATAAAAGACAAGAAACAGGAAGCAAAAAGCACATTGTAGAATAGACTTAAGTATTAAAGTTCGAGATTTCAAAGATTAAGATATTTGTCATTCCGAATCCCGACTCGATGCAACGTTATGTATACTGTGCCTTAATTATTATATGCTTTAATTATACAAACTACAATAAAAAAATTACAATCAAATTACAATCAAATGCTAGCATTCTATTGGTTAAACAAATTGATTGTTGCGCATCCTTGAAATAAAACAAGGAAATTTCTTGGGAATCGAAATGGGAGTAGAAATGGATTCGTGTGATCATTGCCGAAATTGCAAAATTCTGATTTTCTGGATACTGACGAGGCTGACTGCCACGTTTTTCTGCCAGATTCTTTAATTTTGAATAAATACGCGACGAATGATATTTTTATTAGAATTTTAGGGAAGAAATAATTATTTTAAATAAATATCACTGTTCATATAATTTATATAACAAATATTTTAACGATTACAATATTAAAATTAAATTTTTTTATTTAAACAGATGCAAAAGAGGAAGAGACAGCAGAGGTTAAAGTAAAATCTCTCAAACGTTCCTGTGAATTATGGTCTATGGAGGATAAAAATACTTTTTTTAAAGCACTTAATGAATATGGCAAAGATTTCGATGCTTTACAAAGCTACTTTCTAAATCAAGGAAAAAAACGAGGTCTCTCAGACATCATGATAAAAAATAAAGAGCAAATTCGACATTTTTATTACAGAACATGGTTAAAAATATCAAAACATCTTAAATTCTCAGAAGGTTAATATGTTTATATTATCATAATACGAATGTGCATGAATTTTTATATTAATATATAAATACAATGTGTACAAACACATTGTATTTATATATTAATACATTACAGATCTATTTTTTATTTCTACACTATATTGTATTAGAATTCTCTTTCTTTCTTTTGTCAATTATTAAATGTATATCTATTTCACTTTAAATTTTAAAAGTACACTAGTTGAGCCACAAAAACATCCTATGATTCTGTCAATATGTATTATGTTGTCAAATATAATATGTTCTTTTATATATAGATGTTAAAAAAACATCTCAGGAATTATATGGACTAATAAATTATGGTGAACTTAGAAGAAAATTACCTCGTATTCATGAGAAAGTTCACTTAAGATTGAATGAATTGGTATATTGGGGATCTACACAAGTCAGGCTTAGAGGAAAAACAATGAGAGTTAAAACACCAATATGTAGAGCACTTAGAAAGTTAAACCAGTTAGAAGGTATATGAAATTTTTAATATATAATATTTAATGTACAATATTTAAAAAGTATATTATGTTGCATTACACGTTATTGTATTGTAACAAATACTTAAAGACAAAGTTTTTATTTTTTTTCAGTATATTTTTGTGAATTAAAATATTTCTACATATAAAATGGATTTATATCTTAGTGACCATCCGTTTCAAATTAGGAGGGACAGTTTCAAATTTTAACTTTGTGTTCCATTTTACAACGTTTCCCAAATTGTGTCCTAAATCTAGGACACGATTATAAATTGCCTGGTGAAAAAATTTTGCTCAAATTATTCCACGTTTTGGAACTTTTAGTAAAATTATTGAAAATTGCTGAAATTTCTAAATTCACTAAAAGTGAATTTTCCAGCTGACATATTGAAAAATATCTGAAATTGAACTGAAATTTCTCTGAAATTTTTATTGAAATTTTGTTAAAAATGAATTTGTTAGCTAAAAATCGCTGAAATTAAACTGAAATTTTACCGAAAAATGTTCCAAAATGTGGAATAATTTCAGCGAAATTTTTCTTATCAAGGTTGTTCCTCTTTTAAATTTAAAAATAATAAAGGTAAAATAATATGTATGAAAAAATAAGTGTGAAATGTACATATAATTTTGAACTAATATATGAAAAATTTTATGATTTTTTAATTTAAAAACCTAGATATTATTCATAAAACATATTTAGTAGAAAAGTACAATTTTAAAAATTAAAATATATTCTCATAACTTATGTAATTTTTGTTGTGATTTCATGTGATGTTATACATTAAGTGTTATTAGTTATTTACAAATAATATAATATATTGTTTATGTTTTGTTAGCAATTATTAAAAAAAATGAATTTATTAAAATTTAATTACAATTAATATTGATTTTTTTTTTAATGTCCCTCTTTGCCTTCTTAAAAGTAGTTGATCACTTTAGTTTACATAGCTTCTAAACTTAACTTACAATTAGAGTAACATATGATATTACATACAACTCCTACTTAAGTGAATCATATTTATAAGTTCTTATTTCCACCAAGTTGAAAGTATGAAAGAATGTAAATAAGTCAACAAGCAAAGTGAATTTTTAGTTTTTACATTTACGCGGTACAATTTATGCTGAAATTATAACATCACGACACAGCATTTATATCCTTTTTACATCGGTGTAGTAATACTAAGCCTCTTTACCAAACGATTTCAAGTTATTACATTAATGTAACAACTTTGTAAAATAGCATAGTTGTACAATAATATCAGATGTTGTAACTTCAGTGTAAATCGAGCCATGTAAATGTAGTCCTATTTACATAACAATATATATCTTGGTTTTATTATTTATGGTAAAAAATTGATTAATACTGAAATTTAAAATATTTGTTTTATTTTAGATTGGCAGGAAGAAATTAAATTACCATCTAGAATAGTGATAGAATTACGACCGCGTAACAACATGGCTTGGTGGCAAGTACAAGCAGCATCTATGAATCCAAGAGTTCGTACACTTCTCCCCATACAGAGACGTCTCTCAAGTTTATTAATATTTTTGCAACAACGATGGCGACTCGCAAAATATACCACAGTATCCTTATATCTATTCCAACAATTTGGCTCTCTGTCGTAATTATATGTACATTTTCTTCTCATTCGTTATTGTATATTTTCAACTATGCACAATGAAATTTATTTGAATATTCATAATCCTTATAAATATTTATAGTGTTCTACTGTAGAAAATCTTGTTGCTAATGATATAAAAGATACTTGTTTATTACGAGTTGCTCCACCAGAAGGATGTAAAATTGCCTTGCCAATGGTTAATCTTGGAGAATATCTTACTAGCAATAGTGTCAGTTTGAATTCATATGAAAAACGTCTCGGTCTGAAAAGCTCACGGGAAGATTTGTTAGGCTCTGTCCAATATTTAAAAGGAGTAGGGAAAAAGGGCATTAAACGATATAAATCGGATAAAAAGATTTTAAACCGCACTGATGACAATTGTACACTGCCAGATA